AGAGAGAGAGAGAGAGAGAGAGAGAGAGAGAGAGAGAGAGAGAGAGAGAGAAATTAGGTGAATATCTGTTTATTTGAGGGTCTCCCCTTTTGGACACACCTGGTAATTAACATTCCTGGTTTTAACTTTTGGTTTATCTTCAGCCTACTGCCTCAGGCAGTTTGCTTGGTGGGGTTTGCCAAAACCAAATTCTGTATCTGTCACCTAATTAGAGATTGGCTTCTTTCTTAACAGCATGTGCAAATAAATTCCCATAGTCTGTCTTGCATCTCTGTAGAGTTGCCCTCTAAACAATTTCCCATCAGTTGTGTATTTCTAACAGATAGCCCCCCCCATGCATTGAGATGAGCTGAGATATAGCTCAGTGATAGAGGACATACTTATTTAGCATTTGCAAGGTATTTGGTTCTACCCCAAATATGAATGAAAGAGAAAAAAGAGAGCTGTTTGCTTGCATGTGGCATGAAGTTCTTAGCTCTAAGTGTTGAAGCCTAGCAACCAGAACTGGCTGCAGATAGAATAACAGTATCCTCTGCTTGGAATTGGCCACTTTAGTTCTAGCTTTGCCTGTTCTTAACTGCAGTTAAGCACTGTGATCATTGCCAAATTGAAAATAGCCTTAGGAGCCCTGACCTTTTACCTGCTATTTAGCCTAAGTGTGCTAAAAGTGGCCACTAACCTAGCATTGTAATTAAGAGCCATGTTCCTGGCAACCCTACTAGAACATTGTTCCAGTTCTCCCTGTCACTTCTAGAACCCATACTTGGGACAGCAAAGCAGTGCTCAGCAACCAGAGAGATACTTTACCACTATCTAGGAAGGACTTTTTGATCTTTTGAAATAGAGTCTCGATTTATAACTCAGGCTGTCCTAAAATTCAGTACATATCTTAAGCTAGCCTTGAACTTGTGATCTTCCTGCCTCAGCTTCCCAATAGCTAGCATTTAGGTGTATACTCACTCTTATGCATGAATTGAACTCCCTTAGTACAGTTACTTTCCAAAAAAAAATTTATGTATGTATGTATGTGTACATATATATGGGTATTTTTGGTGCTTGGGATTGAGTCTAAGGCTTCTCAAATGCTAAACAAGTACTATTTACCATTGAATTCCTGTATTTCAAATGGCAGAATAACATTTGACCACTTAGGAAGTAGTTTTAATTCCTCCCAGATCCTGTCTCTCCTCCTGTGTACTTCATAGTTGCCTCTCTAGATGAAAAATTTTTGTCAGCTACCTTTCACCTGGTGTCTGGACATATCTGACATAAATATGTATGTGCTTCAGCAGCCCAGGATTATATGTGCCCTCTTCAAGGAAGCCATGCCATTTGCACCTGCTGCTTCCAGCCTATGCCTGACCGAAGAGCTGAACGTGAGCAGGATTCCCGTGTTGCCCCTCAGCAGTGTGAGTGTTTTGTCTCCCTCAGGTGCCCCCTCCAACAGGAGGACATTCTTGTGCATCCTCCATGGCTTGATTTGTCAAATGAAATTGACTTTATGTAGGCTATAAAACAAAGATCCATCTTTCCATCTGCATATAATCAGTTGATCCCACATGAGCATATTGAACACTTATTTTTTTCCACCAGTGGATAACACTGCCCACACTTCCAGATGTGGGTGGTTATATATTTCTATATCCATTCTCATATCAGAACTATAGTCTTTATATAATGTGTTACTTACAAATCCAGTAGATGAAATACCTGTGTTTAATATACATTTCACCATTAAAACAGTTCTTTAGATAGAGGGGTAGTTAAGTGGTGGAACGCTTGCTTAGCATGTGTAATCTTCTGGGTTTCGTTCTTTGCATTGTAAAACATCAGAAAAATAAATGGAGCTCTTCATTAATGTTTGAATATACTTTTGTTTGAAATGCTTGTTCATTTCTATTGCATTTTAAAGTGTTTTTCAACTTGAGAGTTCCTTGATCATTATTGCTGTTAAATGAAACAAATCATAAATTTATGTGGTCACATCACAAGTCTCTGCAGTGCCTGCGCCACTCTTCTGTGGCACAATGTATGATACAGTACAAGCTCTCCACTGCAGTGATGTGGTGGGTTTTGTTTGCTTGGAGACTGCTCTGGGGAGGTGGTCCTCCTAGCCTAGACTTGGTGCAGTACAGAAGACGGGACAGTAGCACAGTAACAGTATGCATTCTGGGATAGGCAGCTAACAAGCTCCAGGCATACCAGGGTGACCTCTAGGCATGTTAAGAAGAATCCATGGACAAGTCCTGAGAATACCGATGTCTGAAATATACAGATCAGCAAGTGGCAGCCGAGGTTAGGTTCTTAAAATTTTGCTAAGAGGGCAGTCTTTACTTTTGACTAATTTATAGAGAAATGCTTTTTATAGATACAGGCAATTATAAAGTGATTATACTCTTAAAAAGCTTTAATTATTCAATCCTGTAAGAATTTCAGCTAGGATTTATTTACTAGCGTATTCTGTGAAATTGCATTGTGGAGAATATTAAACATTAAAAAACCAACCCAAGGGGCTGGAGAGATGGCTCAGATGTTAAGAGCATTGCTTGCTCTTCCAAAGGTCCTGAGTTCAATTCCCAGCAACCACATGGTGGCTCACAACCATCTATCTGTAATGAGGTCTAGTGCCCTCTTCTGGCCTTCAGGCATGCACACAGACAGAATATTATATTCATAATAAATAAATATTTTTTTAAAAAAAACCCAACCCAGACACAGAAAGACAATTATCATATGTACTCATAAGTGGTTTTTAAACATAAGGCAAAGAAAACCAGCACACAAATCACAATCCCAGAGAACCTAGACAATAATGAGGACCCTAAGAGAGCCATACATAGATCTAATCTACATAGGAAGTAGAAAAAGACAAGATCTCCTGAGTAAATTGGGAACATGGGGACCTTAGGAGAGGGTTGAAGGGGAGGGAAGAGGCAGGGAAGGGAGCAGAGAAAAATGTAGAGCTCAATAAAAATCAATTAAAAATTTTAAAAAAATAAAATAAGTAAAACATTAAAAATTCAACTAGGATTTATTTACTAGTATATTCTATGAAATTGCATTGTGGAGAATATTAAACATTAAAAAACCTTTTCTAAGGGAGTGCAGAATAATAATATATAATGAAAACATTATTTGTGGTACGTAGAAAAGTTATCTGCAGACGTGAATGTGCAGTTATTTCAAGTGTGTCACATAGTCAGAGCTGGGAAACAATGAACCAGGACTGTTTGGGTATTGGGGTCATAGACCAAGCTGTTTTTAAATTAACTTTTAATTATCACAGTTCTGTCACCTTTGATTTTAGATGTTATCTGGGACGTTGTCTCTGCTCCCTAGTTCCATGAGAACACCTCAGAAAGACTGTCTTCAAAGAGAGTTGAGCTCTTGAGTCTGGTTCTAAATTTCCTCAAGTATGAGAACAGGCACAGTTCTAGATCCCAATTGATCAACTAACTGTCTTCTGTCCACAGGTGCAATATGCCTGCAACCCTTCTGCCATTTGTATTGGGGCTGCACCCGGACTGGCTGCTTTGGCTGCTTGGCCCCTTTCTGTGGTAATGTCAGCTCTTCAACCTAGTTGTTTTGACTTTTCGTTTGTTATCTTGATGAACTTGGAGTAGGTGGTATTGAATTGTGACCTGCTGTGTTCAGAGAAAAAAGAGGCTGCTATGCGCCATCAAGTGATTGATTATCTGCCTTTTTCTGCTACACTGCAGAGTTTTGTCAGTTTGGAAGTCTCAAACCCATGTTGCTTCAAAAGCAAGTGGTAATAAAACAAGAGAAATATCAGTTTTTTATACAGGAGAAATTATTTATTCACATAAAACACTCCTTCTAAACCCCAGCCCTCCAGAGGATTAGGCAGGAGGATCACAGATTCAAGGATGACTGGGTGTGTGGTGTTGTGTGCTGTGATTAAAGGCCTGTGCTAGCATTGCTGACTCCACCAAGAATCATGATAGCTCTTTTCATGTAGGAGAATATTTTCCCTTAGTGCCCGTGACCTATCTAGGACAGTGTTGGGGAGGTGTTGGATTTTATAGAGAGGGCCTTAAAGGTGATTTAAAAAGTGGTTGGTTACTTCTGTTACATTTGTGCTGCTATTGCACCAGTAGGTATATCTGACAGACATGTTTATAGCACACAGGGTTATAGCTGGGTGAGACTGATGATTGCTTTTTTCCTCTGGTAGCATGTATAATTCCTTTTAAGCACTTTGAATACTAGTTAGTAGGGGTGAAGCATCAATTTGAGTACCAGCTTGATTTTTTTCCATGTTTGGTGGCAAAAATATGGGGTGACTTTAACAATAGGGTCTTAACTCATGTTGTGGAGTTATATAGTATTGACTATAGCCTGTAATGTCTAGGGGTGGTCTATGGGACTCTAGCCAATGACTAAAAAAGATGCTATCCATTCCTGAAACTGGGTGGGGGGTTATTTGGTAGCATATGATGTGTAGTTGGGGCGTTGACTACACTATTGTATTCCATCATCCTTATTTTGAGACAGGATCTTTCAGTGAACCTAATGTTCACTAAAGCATTACTGGCTGGACTGGCTGGGTCAGTAGTCTCCGGGGATCCACTTGTCTCTTTCCCCCACCAATACTAGTATTGTAGACATGCCCTGCTACACTTGACCTCCTCCTCCTCCTCCTCCTCCTCCTCCTCCTCCTCCTCCTCCTCCTCCTCCTCCTCCTTCTTCTTCTTCTTCTTTTTCAGTAGTCATGCTGGGGATTGAAATTCATGTCAGCATGCATTTTAATGACTGAGACATTTCCTAAGCTTGTTGCTTTTTACAATCTGTAATGGGAAGAGATTTGGTTGGGCTGGAGAGATGGCTTAGAGGTTAAAACCACTAGCTGCTCTTCCAAGGGTCCTAAGTTCAATTCCCAGCAACCGCAACCACGTGGAGCCGTACAACCATCTATAATGAGATCTGGTGCCCTCTTCTGGTGTGCAGGCCTACATGCAGGCAGAACATTATATATGTAATAGATAAATCTTTAAAAGAGAGAGAGAGATTTGGTTATCCCATCAGGAAAATAATACTTAAGATACTACATTATCCTTATAAAACAGATAATATTCATCCTTCCTCTGGCAGAGCTCAACCTGGGGGACAAGTGCTTGGATGGGGTGCTGAACAACAACAACTATGAGTCGGACATCCTGAAGGTATCACCCCCCACTTTCCTGGGCATCAGTGACAGTCATGAAGCTTTCCTTTAATGTTTGTGGTTCCTGTTAGGACACACATTTTCTCTTTAGCATTTGCCTGCAGACATGTACTGCCACAGCTGACAGCACACACTGTATTATCTGACCAGTATAGTTAGTTCCATGATTCCATGATATTTATCAGGCTTTCCCTTTATTCTAAAATGAGCTGATTTTCCGGTTACTGATCATTCTGTCAAACCATATGAATTAGTTAATACATCTTACAGATAGGGTATCTCAATTCTGGCTCTTTTCTCTGGCTTCTTTTTCAGAACATTTTCCTTCCCAAGTTTGAGGAAGCTAGCTCAGCTCTTAGAATTGTAACATGTTCAATTCTGCATGTTATGTTGAGAACTTTGCCTTCCTTGGAGGCCATTCATTTACCTACACACATTGCCAGACTTAGCTGAGCACCACTGCACTCTACATTTAGATACTTGACAACTTTTTTGTAACAGCCTTGAACAGTGTCTAAATAAAGAAAACCTGGCATTCAGCTATACTTGTCACCATTATGGGGTAGGTGGGCTGGGTGAGGCAAGTGTAAAAGGGAGAAATTAATAATCTTATTAGAGTGTGCTACTGAAAGCTCTTTCTGTTCAAGATTGGCTTCTACCAGCAGTATTCCATAAGTTATATAGGGCAGGCAGTATCTAAGTGGTTATTGGTGATTGTCACTTCTCAAGGGCGTTTGTCTGCCTTTTCAGATAAAAAAGGAGGCTTCAGCAAGTAGTTTACAAAAGCAGAAGTCAGTTTAATGGTTTAATTTTAACTATGTTAGAAGCAAAGCTATGACTTGATTCTGTTCTCTTATTCCTTTTTCCCTTCAGTGTCTTATCTTTCCTTGTGCTGTGAATGCCTCTGTGGAATTTTTTGAGAGAATAGTGATTCTTATTCAGGTCCAAAGGCCAAAGAGCCTCTCAGCAAAGAACTTGTAAGACCTAAGGCAGGATTGACTCTAGTTTATCCACTGGCTCTGTGCAAATGCCACTCGAGGGTAGCTGTGTTTGGCTTCATCTGCCTTTTATGAAATGTCCTCTTAGTCGTTTTTGATTCTTCTTCTAAACTGGAATTTATTTCCACACTTTTTCCCATCACAGAATTACCTGGCAACCAGAGGTCTGACTTGGAAAAATATGTTGGCAGAGAGTCTCCTGGCTCTACAGCGGGGTGTATTTCTCTTATCTGGTAAGCATTGTATAGCCAACTCTGCCCTCCAGAATGGGCATTAATTTTTAAGAATGGGCATTGGAAAAGCATAAGCAAATATAGAATAAAAAGTTAGGAATAGTGTTTTCATGCCCATCTGTTCAGGCTCTTTGAAGAGGCTCCATTTGTGGGTTATATTACAGATGGTGCCCTATTGAGTGTCATGTTTGTACTCAGCATGTATCACACACTTTCTTCTACCAAGAAAAGTCTAGGCATGGTTTTTGAAGTAGTAGGAACTGGCCAGGGTTCTTGTGCATACTAAGCAAGTACTACTCTACTGTTGAACTACATCCTAGCCCTGCCTTGGTTTTTTATTATTATTACCTAGAGGGTTTTAGAAGGGGAGATGCTTAGGGAGGATGATTATGACCCCAATTAGGCTTAGACTTGCTGTATAACCATAGCTGACCTTGATCTTCTGATTCTCATTCCTTCACCTCCTAAGTGCTGGCAGAAGCCAGCCTATACCACCATTCCTGTTTTATATAGTGCTGGGGATCAAACCCAGGGCATTGTGCATGTAAACAAGCATTCTACCACCTGAGCTGTATCACCAGCCCTGCCTAGAGTTTTAGTTAGCTTTATTTAGCCACCTCATGAAAGGATATTTTATTTCTTGTTTTTCATTACATTAATGCCACAACTGTTGAACATTCAATGGTGTACACCTAAAAGTTTAGAATAAATAACTGGAATTTTATGACAGTGGTACATGAAACCGAGACTTTGCCACTTGAACACACTGTCCTTCTTAAGGTTGTATAGGTTTCCCCTCATTCCTGAGGCATCCCCTGCCTCTTGGCTTTGCATTTGTCATTTAATTTTGTGAATATGGGAGAAGCTGACAGTGACTTATTCTTATGCCTTTGAATGACTGTTAATAACATTGAAGGTCTTTTTGCATCGATACTTGCTTATCTATGATCCCGGACTTTACATACACTCTTTGGGGGGTCTCTGGCAGCACCGACATGCTATCTTTGTTGAAGTTTACAGTGTTGCCCTTTGTGTTGTTAATATGTTCTTACTATAGCATTACTACTTCATGGTTTGTTTTTTTTTCCATTTCAAATTTTAAATTGTAGATAGTCAAAATTAAATCATTTTCTGTGTAATTTTTATTTCAACACATGTAGGTTTAGCATTCCCAATTTGAAAATGCCTCCAACATTTGTAGCTATAGAGTGCTGAAGACATGATACCACAAGAAGAAAACCTATACCAAGCCTGCTATGATGGGTCATGTGTGAGATGTGTAGGAAATGTAAACAGTTCTATCTTTAGAATTGGTCCCCCAGTTCTCATTACATATACATAAATCACCAGGCATTGTGACACACACCTTTAATTCCAGTACTGAGGAAACAAAGGAGGTAGATCTATCTGAGTTCAATGTCAGCCTGGTCTACAAATTGAGGTGCAGGTAAGCAAGGACTCAGTGAGATCCTATCTTTAAAAACAGGTAGGGAGGCTGGAGAGATGGCCCAGCAGTTAAGAGCACTGGCTACTCTTACAGAGAGGATCCAGGTTTGGTTCCCTGAACTCACATAATGGTTTATAAGTATTCCATAATTCCAATTCTATGGAATCCAATGCCTTCTGACCTCTGCTGGTGCCAGGTATACACATGGTATACGTACATACATGCAAGCAAAACACTTAAAACACATATTTTTTTTTAATCCTTTGGGACATATACACAAATGTTGCAAAATTTGGAAAAGCAATCTATAATTCAGAATACCTCTGATCCCATGTATATCAGATAAGGAATAATTAACCACACAAGTGTAACACAAGAGAGAATGTTTCCAGTCTTACTACTTTTGGAGGGATTTTTTTAAATATTCATTTCTTTTTTTAGTCCACATGAGATTATCTTACTACTGAAAACTAAACTAATGGGGCTGGAGAAATGGGTTAGTGGTAATAAGCATTTGTTGTTCTTGGAGAGAACCAGGTTCCCAGCACCCACAAGTGACTTGCAACCATCTGTAACTCCAGTTCTAGAGGATCCAGTGCCCTTTTCTGGTCTTCTCAAGTATCGCACACACCATGATACACAGACATTCATGTAAGCAAACATTCACAAAATACAAATAAACCTTTTTTAAAAAACAGCTGAATTAGTATTTAGATTGGTTTTAGAATTGTCTTCCAGATGTTTAGCCCATTGTCTCTACCTCATTATGATATTAAGTTTCCTACTAGTTTGAAGTGTGCCTGTTTTTCTGTTATAAAATGACATTGTCTGATAAATGGCTGTGTTCACATGTGACTACCTTTCCCCAGATTACAGAATCACTGGAAATACTGTGTTGTGTTACTGCTGTGGTCTGCGTAGCTTCCGAGAGCTCACCTACCAGTATCGGCAGAACATTCCTGCTTCTGAGTTGCCAGGTAAGGAGCCTGTTCTGTCTGTACTGACTTCCCAACTCAATTCAAATAGGTACTTAGCATGGCTTTATACTCCATACCTCGCAGAAGTTGTAGCATGTAGGCAGAACACAGGCACACAGGATGGCTGAGGTTGCATTTGCTTTTCAGACCCATGGGTTTCTAGAGCAAAGCAACATAAAGACACCACTAGACAACTTCATTTTCTTGACTTAGTTTTTAGATAAATTTTTTTCTTGTCCAAAAGTCTTGGCATGGTCTACGAAAACTGATCATAAAGAGAGATAGGATGTAAGCTTAGTAAAGACCTTGTTGTGCTAGCATAAAGACCTGAGGTCAGTCCCCATAGGAAAAAAAAAAAACACGAAATGAAACTGGTATGTGGGTCTTGCACCCAAGTGGGGTTTCTGGAACCACATGGAAACTTAAATCATTTGTAACCCCAGTTCCAGATGATCTGGTGTCCTCTTCTGGCCTCTGTGGGCACCAAGCACACACACAGTGCACTTAGGTGCATATAGGCAAACTACTCTTATACATAAAATGTTTTTTAAAATCGGAAGAAGGAAAAAGCCAGATGTAGCAGCTCATGTTTATAATTCCAGAACTAGGGAGGCACAGACAGGCAGGTCCTTGGTTTGGCCAGGTAGCTTAGTCTAATTGGCAGACTTAATGCCATTGAAAGACCTTGTCTCAAACAAACAAGGTAGATGATGACACCTGGCACACTGACTTCTGCCTTCTACACATACATTTGTAACCATATACATGCACCTATATGATCATACATAGGAACACATACAGAGTGACAAAGATGCTTTTTGCTCAGAAAGAGTTTTCTTGTATCTCCAGTTAAATTCATTTAGCTACATGAAAAGTGTGTGATACATCTAATGTAGACATGTACTTTCTTTCCAGTGACTGTAACATCCCGTCCTGATTGCTACTGGGGCCGGAACTGTCGCACTCAAGTGAAGGCTCACCATGCAATGTGAGTGAAGCTGAGGGACATTTGTCAACTGCAGGCCCTCCAGGCTTATGACTTGGAAAGGCAACAGTAATAGTGAATTTTATGCTGAAAAAAAATGTGCTAATTTGGGGACTTACATTACCCTTGGTAGTAGAGTACAAAGTTCCGGGTTCAGTTCCCAGCATCCCACTCCACCCCCCAAATTCACATATGTGTGCTAATTTAATTCCTATACTTCTTTAAAATTATACATTATATATATTTCCATATAGAAATTCTGCTCTTACGTTACTGCGTTTCTTGAACTGCTTCTACACAAATATCTGCCCCCATCTTTCATCTGTGTCTTCATGGTTGGAGTCACATTGTGCTTTATCTGACAGTAGCTCTCTCTTGGTCAGTGTCTGAGCGCATGTCTGCAAAGTTACTGGCCCAATTGGTGATAGAGTAACACCTGGGTTTTTCTTCGTATTATATGTGTGGCGGGTTGGGAGGTGAGTTGTGTTACAACTTAACCACTCCCACTGTGGATCTTTAACATAGTCTTCAAATGCTATTCATAGCAACATCTGCATTGCCTTATGAAGTCAGCACTCAGCACTAATCTTTCTGCTACTGTTTTTAAACCATTAGTGTTATGGTCCTCTGCTGGTCAGTTCACTGGCCAGTATTTAAATCTCTACACACAGATTTTTGATTCAGATTAAGGCAATGGAACCAGTGCCCACAGTATGAGAGAGAAAGACGACAATAGAGATGACTTCTTAATGGGTACTTTTGTAGTATAAAACCTTGTATCGTGCTTAAACATGAACACCAGACACCATCTATTTCAGGAAAGAAAACTTTAGGTTGTAGAGTTGACTCAGCATTTGAAAGTGTTTGCTAGTCTTGAAGAGGGATCTGAGTTCAGTTCTCGGCACTCACATTGGTCAGTTAGTAACCACCTCTTACTCTAGCTGCAGGGGATCAGATATTGGTGGCCTCCTCAAAAACCCACATACAGGTGTGCATACCTCCACATAGACACATATACAGAACTAAAAGTGATACAAGTAAATCTTAATCTTAAAAAAAAAAAAGAAAGGAGGAAAGAAGGAAGCTGGGTATATTGGCACACACCGTTAATCCCAACACTTGGGAGGCAGAGGCAGGTGGATGGATCTCTGTGAGTTTGAGGCCAGCCTGGTCTATAGAGTGTCCAGAATAGCTGTTACAAAGAGAAACCCTGTCTCAAAGGAGGAAAAAAGAAAGGAAGGAAGGAAGGACATTGCACAACTAACTCACTTTTGTTCCTGGTAATATAGATATGGGTAGCACAGGCACATGCCACTATCTCCATGCACTTCTCCAGCCTGGCCACTGTCACCTCAGCATCTGTCTCCGTTCTGCTAGGTAAAGTGTAGGCAAAGGCATACACTAAAGAAGCACAGCTCTTATTCTCTAATCTAATAAAATACCCAGTGTTTTCATCTTAATTTTAAAATTTAAAAAGAGAAAAAAGAGACTACCTTTGGAATTTAGTGTCTTTAATATTATTTAAAAATACTTAGAGGCCTTTAATCCCAGCACTCGGGAGGCAGAGGCAGGCGGATCTCTGTGAGTTCGAGACCAGCCTGGTCTACAGAGCTAGTTCCAGGACAGGCTCCAAAGCCACAGAGAAACCCTGTCTTGAAAAAAAAAAAAAAAAAAAATACTTAGAGGGACTGGAGAGGAGGCTCATCTGTTAAGAGCACTTCTTACTCTTCCAGACGACTTGAGTTTGGTTCCTAGCACCCGTGTCAAATATCACACAACTACCTGGAATACCAGCTCCAGGGGATTTGATTCCCTCTTCTCTCTACCCTGGCCACCTGTACATACATGGCATATACTAAAACAGACATATTTAAATACACATAAATTTAAAATTCTTTAAAAACACAATTTTTTAATTGATTTTTATTGAGCTCTACATTTTTCTGTGCTCCACTCCCTGCCTCTCCTCTCCCTGCCTCTCCTCTCCCCTTCAGGTTTCTCCCAAGGTCCCAATGCTCTCAATTTACTCAGGAGATCTTGTCTTTTTCTATTTCCCATGTAGAGTAGATCTATATATGTCTCTCTTAGAGTCCTCATTGTTGTCTAGGTTCTCTGGGATTGTGATTTGTAGGCTGGTTTTCTTTGTTTTATGTCTAAAATTCACTTATAAGTGAGTACATGTGATAATTGTCTTTCTGGGTCTGGATTACCTCACTCAAAATGATGTTTTCTATTTCCATCCATTTGCCTGCAAAATTCAAGATGTTATTTTTTTCTGCTGTGTAGTACTCCATTGTGTAAATGTACCACATTTTCCTTATCCATTCTTCACTTGAGGGGCATTTAGTTTGTTTCCAAATTCTGGCTATGACAAACAATGATACTGTGAACATAGTTGAGCAAATGTCCTTGTGACACGATTGAGCATCTTTGGATATATGCCCAAAAGTTATATTACTGGGTCTTGAGGAAGGTTGTTTCCTAGTTTTCTGAGAAATCGCCACACTGACATCCAAAGGGGTTGTACCAGCTTGCATTCCCACCAGCAATGCAGAAGTGTTCCCTTTTCCCCACAACCTCTCCAGCAGAAGTTGTCATCAGTGTTTTTTTTGATCTTGGCCATTCTTACAGGTATAAGATGGAATCTCAGAGTGGTTTTGATTTGCATTTCTCTGGTGACTAAGGATGTTGAACATTTCTTTAAGTGTCTTTCAGCCATTTTAGATTCCTCTGTAGAGAGTTCTCTGTTTAGTTCTGTACTACATTTTTTACTGGATTATTTGTTCTTTTGGTGTCCAATTTCTTGAGTTCTTTGTATATTTGGGAGATCAGACCTCTGTCTGATGTGGGGTTAGTGAAGATCTTTTCCCATACTGTAGGTTGTCGTTTTGTCTTGTTGATTGTGTCCTTTGCTTTACAGAAGCTTTTCAGTTTCAGGAGGTCCCATTTATTAATTGGTTCTCTCAGTGTCTGTGCTGGGGTTATATTTATGAAGTGATTCCTGTGCCAACGTGTTCCGAAGTGTACTTCCCATTTTCTCTTCTATAAGGTTCAGTGTGGCTGGCTTTATGTTGAGGTCTTTGATCTATTTGGACTTGAGTTTTGTACATGGTGATAGATTTGGATCTATTTTCATTCTTCTACATGTTGATATCCAGTTATGCCAGCACCATTTGTTAAATATGCTTTCATTTTTCCATTTGATATTTTTTGCTTCTTTGTCAAAAATCAGGTATTCGAAGGTGTGTAGATTAATATCCGGGTCTTCTATTCAGTTCCATTGGTCCTCCTGTCTGTTTCTATGCCAATACCAGACTATTTTCAGTACTTTAGCTCTGTATTAGTTTAAAATCAGGTGTTGTGATGCAGAAGTTCTTTTATTGTACAGGATTTTTTATCTATCCTGGGTTTTTTTGCTTTTCCAAATGAAGTTAAGTACCGTTCTTTTGAGGTTTTTGAAGAATTTTGCTGGGATTTTGATGGGCATTGCATTGAATCTGTAGATTGCTTTTGGTAAGATTGCCATTTTTACTTTGTTAATTCTACCTACCCAAGAGCATGGGAGATCTTTCCACTTTCTGGTGTCTTATTCAATTTCTTTCTTCAAAGATTTAAAGTTCTTGTCATACAAGTCTTTCACTTGTTTGGTTCGAGTTACTCCAAGATATTTTATGCTGTTTGTGGCTATTGTGAAGGGTGATTTTTCTCTGATTTCTTTCACAGCCCTTTTATCATCTGTGTACAGGAGGGCTACTGATCTTTTTGAGTTAATCTTTTTTTCTTTCTTTTTTTTTTTTTTTTTTTTTTTTGGTTTTTCGAGACAAGGTTTCTCTGTGGTTTTGGAGCCTGTCCTGGAACTAGCTCTTGTACACCAGGCTGGTCTTGAACTCACAGAGATCCGCCTGCCTCTGCCTCCCAAGTGCTGGGATTAAAGGCGTGCGCCACCACCACCCAGCTTTGAGTTAATCTTGTATCCTGCTATATTTCTGAAAGTGTTTATGAGTTGTAGAAGTTTCTTGGTAGAATTGTTGGGGTTGCTTATGTAAACTATCATATCATCAGCAAATAGTGAGAGTTTGACTTCTTCTTTTCCAATTTGTATCTCCTTGATCTCCTTTT